GACAGTTCCCTTCTGAGATGTCACAAACTGATGCTGGTAATACCATAAAGAAGAAAGAGCTAGGAAAACTGTGAAAATTATAAAAACTGAAAATTTTCAAAGTTAATAACATACCACACCACATGTCTGCAAGCTCAGAGGAACTGAAATATGGCAAATTCTAAAACATTTATACCTACGTATATTATATTCAAGCTGTAGACAGATAACAAGAAAATCTTGAGGATAACAAATAAAAATTAGCTCAGGTCTAGAACAGGCAAGAATGACACTGGGCTCCATCAGACACTATGTAAGTGTCAAGTGAAAAGTTTAAAGTTCTAAAGACAGTGTACCAACCTGGAGTTCTGCATCAATGAAATTAGGCATCAAAAGTAAGAACAAATAACATTATCAGACAAACTAACAGAGGAGGCACACTTCATCAGTAGACTCACTTGCAAGGAATGCTTAAAGAATTTTTTCAAGAGAAGCAACATAATGTATGTTAGAAACCTAGGTAGATCTACACTTAAAAAGAGGAACACAAGAGAAAATAAAAGTGAAGGCAGGATGCAGTCGCAGTCCAGTGTTCTCTTAGGGAACTTAGGACACGTTGATACACGAAACGAAGTACTGCCAGGCTAGAGGGCAGCCAGATAGAAAAACTGGGAAATATCTGAACTATGAAATAGAAATACAGTATCATTTCAAAGTAGACTTAGAATAGTTATAAATAGAGACTTCAGGGGCTGGAGAGATGACTCAGTGGTTAAGAGTACTGGATGTTCTTGCAGAGGATCCAGGTTCAATTCCCAGCACCCACATGGTGGCTAACAACTGTCTATAACTCCAGTTCCAATGGATCCGATGCCCTCTTCTGACCTCCATTGGCATTGCATGACATGGGTGCACTTACATACATGCAGGCAATACACTCAGTAATTAATTAAGATTAAGATGCCAGGAAGTTTGATTCTCATGAGATTTCCCTTATAGAGGCATCTACATTTCTCCTGTGTCACCACAGTCTTTCTTGTGTGTGTTTGTGTGTGTGTGTGTGTGTGTGTGTGTGTGCATGCTGCATCAGAGAAACAGCTGATGTCTCATCTTATCATGACGATGTTTTCTGTGGTGACAGTTCTGACCTGTTCGTTTCCTATGTTGATTCACCTTCATGATCTCATTTGACTTTGATAACTTCTTACAGGCCATATTGCCAAATGTACACAGAATGCGCCAATGTATGAATTTGATGTGTGTGTGTGTGGGGGGGGTTAATTTAGCTTCTCACAATTCGCTAAGAGAGAAAAAATTTAAATGCTCACTTAAAATGAAAGAATGCACAAAATAAGGAAAGGCATAAAAAGGGAAAGAAACAAAGAAAATCTACAAAGACTAGCAAACAGTTGCAAATATGGTAAACATTCATCAGCTGTATCTATAATCACTCTAAATAGGAATGGTCTTAATATGCCATTTAAGTTGAACTATGTTGAAATATTTTTCTGTGAAATTTTATTATTTTCAAATTCTACAAATAAAAAACCTCAAAGAAAATATTTACAAATCATAAATGTGCAAATGACTTGTGCTCAAAATATATAAAGAAATTGAAAACTTAAGAAGACAACTAAATTAGGGGATATGTAAAAGTTCTTATAAAATGATTAAACCAAAGTATATTTATTGATCATTTCAAGTATTCATCATTTGTCCTAGACAGCCTGCATCCTCTTCTGCAACTAATTTCAAAAGGTCAAAAGAGAAGCAACAATAAGAGAGACAAAGACATCACTAGCATGTGAAAAGATGCTGAGTCTCATATGTATCACTGAGGAATGATACATATGAGGCATCATTATGTGAGGCATCATTATGCATCACTGTGCAAAATTAAAAGCTGACAGGCATGCAGACTGCTGGGAATCTTGGTCACTGCTGGTGGAATGGGAAAGAGTATTGCAGCACTGAAATGCATCTGGGCAGTTTCTTACACAACTAAACACATGTTCACACATGATACAGTCCCCGTGTTCCCGGATATTTACCTAGTTAAATTAACTGAATGCTTATGTCTACACAGACATCTGTAAATGAGTGCTGATGGCAGTTTTATTCACGAAGGTGAAAGAAACTAGAATCAGGCAAAATGTCCTTTGATAAATAACATGATAAATAAACTTCACTGTATTATACAAATGAATAATATTTATTATTAAGCAGCAAAAAAGCAATGAGCTATGAAGGTTTAAAAAGAGGTGGGGGAATTCTAAATGCATATTGTTGAATGAAAGAAGTCAGTCTGTAAAGGCTATATACTACATGATTTCAACAATAGCTTCATTCTGGAAACACAAACTGAAGAGACAATTTAAAAAGCTCAGGGCTAGTCAGGAGTAAGGGATGCACAGGGGATTTTTAGGTAGTGTTCCCATGCTGTCTGATCCTATAATGGAATAAATGACATTGTGCATTTGTTGCAACACATCATAGAATGTCCATAACGAAGAGTAAACCTTAACACAAACTGTGAACTTTTTAGTTCATCACATAGTAATAACATTGGCTCATTACTTATAAGGATGCATCACAATAATACAAGGTGTTTACAATAGGAAAAAACAAGGTGACAATACTGATACGGATATGGGAGCTCTGTTCCAGATTACGTTTTCAATAAATATTAAAATATTTTAAAATAAAGTATGTCAATTTAAAAAACAGTACGTGTTCCATAAAAGATTCAGAAAGGCAAAAAAGACGAAACACAAAAAATAAAGCAAAACCTTCCAAACAAAACTCCAGGCCCAGAAAATTTCCCTGATAAATTCCAGTAACATTTAAGAAACATGAGAAATGAGTAGCCTTCCAGCTCTGCCAGAAAGTAAAAGAGTAATTGTTTTCCCATTTTGTGAGACCTTCATTATTCCAACATCCAAAGCAGATAAAGACATCATAAAGCCACAAATATCCCTCACAGATATGGGCATGAAAGTGCTCAGGAGTCTATTAGCAAAGCAAAAGTTATTAGAAAATCAAATCAAGCACGGGGTAAATGGAAGAATGAATATACAAGAAGCCATCAGTGTATGTGAGGCTGGTTCAACCTTCAAATATTGAAGTAATCCACCATATTATCAAATCAGGAAAGTGCATAATGACAGTAGACAAAAAATAAACTATTTATGAAACCACAACGTTCATTTGCAATGACTCTCCCATTCAAGCTGTAGTAGTGCAAAAAAGTAGTAAAACGAATCAACAAAAACAGAAAATTCACTTTATTATTTTATTTATGTATTTAAATATTTTATTGAGTTTTTTTTGTAAATTTCATATAACAGTTCTTAATCAAATTTAGACTCCTTTCCCCATCCATGACCCCAGCCACCCCTTCACGTTATCTCACGGATCCCTCCATACATGTTAAGTCCTATTCTGTCAAGCATTTGTACCCAGATGTCCTTTGTGCAAGTTCATCCATTGGAGCCTATAAGCCTATCTAGAGATCTTAAGGAAGGCCTATGCTCCCTCACCCAGCAGGAATCAGTCTCCAACAGTTCCCAGGGTAGGGCCGGCCTGTCACCCATCTCCCTTGTCTTACTGAGTTGACATGGGTCTTGTGCCTGACACCACCATTGCCTCAAGTTCAAAAGAGCAAGCTTCCAGTGGCCTCAAAAATCACTTTAAATCACCTAATAGGTGAAAATTTCCTTCACCTGATAAAGGGCATGGATAGCTAACATCAAACTTGTTATCACAAAACTGAATCTTTTCTATAAGATTAGGTGTCTCCTGTTCAACATCGCACATGTATCAACTAGTTCAATGAGAAAAGCAAAAGAAACAAAAGCATACAACTGATGGAGAGAGGTGGCGTGTCTCACAGGTTAGATGGTATTACTGTTAGTATCAGTCACTCTCAGTCCTCTATGAAGCATTTGACAAGAAAAGTCTGGAGACATTCTTGGTTGTCATGGTTTAGGGTGGGGAAGGATGCTGCTGCCACCTAGCGGCCAAGTGTCCTGTCAAGCATTTCACAATGTAGCGTCTGTCCGAGCTACTCTTCCCTGCCTTAAAAGAGAAATACTTTGTCCCAAATAGAGCTAAATTTATAAGTTGCTGGTCTACGTAGAAATCCCTAAAACACTGTGCCTAATATCCCATATATGAGTTCAGCAAGTTAGAGAATAAAAGGTCAACATACAAACATCAGTGATATTCCCAGACATCAGGTATAAAAAGAAATGAATTATCTATGATGTCTGCTCTTATTTTGAGGAATTTGCTCTGCTATTAGATGTGGGATGAGGTTAAAAGTGACCATATACCTGTGGAAATGGGCAAGAAGCCACAACTCTGGCAAGAAACTATTGGCAACTGATCACTGCTGGGTGAGGACGGTTGATCTTCTTTAAGGGAGTGACTAGACAGCTTGAACAAGCTCCAGTGGATGAATTCACACTGAGGGACATCTGGGTACACAAACTTGACTCGATAGGCCTTAAGATATCTGACAAAATGCATGAAGTCCTATGGGTGGGCTATGTGGGGTTGCAGATAGGGAAGTGGGGGCTAAATATGATTAAGATGTGTTGTATGAAATCCACAAACATTCAATAAATTATATATATATTAAGTGACCAGCCCTTAGGAATCCTGGGTTCCACTCCCCGTACTAAAGAGCAGACCAAAACATTCAAAGTGCCAAGCACTCTAGGTGTGGTTTTCATTTTATTCTTCTGATTTTTAGAAATGAAAGTCTTGGTAAAATATCTTACTTGGGTTACAGTATTGAGTGAGGCTTCCCAGAGGACTGAGGTGAGAACTACAGACATGAGGTAGCTGCCCCATCTCCGTGGCCTCCTTTAAGGATTCCTGCAATGGTGAAAACGATTCTAAGAAAGTCCCAGGTTAGAAAATGCTTTGGAAAGTCTTCAACTAAAAATAGCTTATCCATTATTATTGAGAAATGAGTAACTTAATAATTGCTACCTACCAAGCTCTGTATATCCTACCTCTCTTTGCTTCCAAGACTTCTGGACGCAGTACTGCCAGTGTCTTTTGTAATTTCATACTTTTCATTGCTTTAAAATCAGGGAATAAGATATTGATGAGCATAGAAACCTTAACCATGTTATCTTCAACTTCGCAATACTGAGAAATATGCTGTCGTTCTAAAGATTCTTGCAAACTGTAAAAATCCAAAACAGAATGTAAGATTATTATTATAAAGTTTAAGGACTATGCCTAAAATTAATGTGTAGTATATTAATGAATTACTTAGAGTTTAGTAATATAATAACTGAATGCCATGTAAATAGATAAGTTGAACTTGCTTATTACATCCAAACCCAGAGTTGATCCAAGTAGTTACACAATGTCATCTCTGCTGGACTTTGGGAGAGGATAAGCAAAGTTCAATGTGAAAGTCACCTTTTATGAACTTTCTATTCTTTCTTTTGTAAAGAGCTTTCCACAAAATTTTGACTTTAAATTCAGTCTTTTAAAACAAGATTACTCAGTGTAAATTTCATTCTCAAGTAAGACATTTTTGTTGACCTTTTCATCAGTTACTTCTAATTTGATTGGATTGTAATCAGCAATTTTTTGTTAAAGTTATGTGTGTGTATCAGTTACTTTTCTTGTTGCTATGGACAGAGCATCCAAAAAAAAAGGCAACCTAAGGAAAGAAGGGCTTATTTTGACTCACAGCTTGAGGAAATAGTCTATCATGTCAGGGGATACTTGGGGTCAGGGTATGAGGCAGCTGGTCACATTGCATCTACAGGCAGGAATCAGAGAGAGATAAATGTAGGTGCTCAGCTTTCTTCTTCTTATTCAGCCTAGGATCCCAGACAATGGGATGGTACTATCCACACTTAGGGTGGGTCTTCTCACTCAGTTAACTGGTTCTGGAAGAATCCTCAGAGACCCACCTAGTCGTGTATTGCTATGGTGATTCTAAATTCAGTCAAGTTGACAGTGAAGATAAATCTTCACCATTTGTGAACAAAGAAAATTTCCTTGAGATATGTAAGGATGTTAGATAGATCACGTATTATATATTGGCTATAGACTAGGTATTTTTTATTTCTCTGTGTCCTTTTTGTCTACTAGTAGGTTATTTTTAGACATTTCTCCTAAACTCTTTAATAATTTTATCTGCATATTTTAGTTGCTACACTGATTCATAACTTTTTGGATCACTGTATCTTCAGAAATCTTGACTTTAACATTGTGTTCTTCCCCATCAAGTTAAGACACTTTTAAAGTCTTTCTGGCCTTCTTGCATTTTACTATTTTTATTTCTGTTGTGCTTCCTTTAAATAAAATATTGATGAACAGATTTGATTAGATTTTTGATTTTGAAAGAATTTAAATTGGCAGGAAAGTCATAACACTGCAGTATTGCTCCTTATCTGACACACCTGCTATACACATTGCTCACTTTTGCCCTGTTCAAGCCTCAGCTCTAATCTTCCACACCTGGGGACAGACTTCTAGGGTAGGCTGGGACATGGAATATGAGGGAACAGGTTTTTGCACAACCATTCAAATGTAAGTTTCAGATATTTTAACAATTCACCCTTAAATATCATATGGAATTTTACACTGATATAGATACATTATCTCATAAACAATCCACTTTCAAATTTCATCATATTCTACTTTTTTGACAGAGTCTCCCTAATCCCAGCCTGCCTGGAAGTCACAACGTGGACCATGCTGGCTTCAATATCATAGAGATCTGCCTGCCTCTGTCTCCCAAGGGCTGGGATTAAAGGTGTACCACCTCACCCAGTATCAAATTTCATCATAATCTTAACACTTTCCAATGTATAATAATTATCTCTAATTCAGCATGCAAGCAGGTGTCCTGTCATCTTGGTCTCTTAATCTCTAAGATGGTTAATCTTAATTGCCAGCTTGATGGGATTTAGAATCTTCATGGAGACAAACCTCTGGGGGTGTCTCTGAGGTATTTTCTAGATTAGATTAACTGAAGTTCAGAGATCAACGACATGTGGGTGACACCATTCTATTGACTGGGCTCCAGACTGAATAAAAGGAGAGCAGGAGCTGAGTAAGAAGATTCATGTCCTTTCTGCTTCCTGACTGTGAACCCAGTGTCAACATCTGTCTCAAGTCCTGGACCAATAAGCTGTGAGCTAAATAAACCCCTTTTCCTTAAAAAAAATCCTTTACTTTTGTCAGGATTTTGTGGCAAACAAGTATTTAATACAACCTTCAACAGAGCCTCAGCTTTTTTGCAACTTATGATACCGATATTTGGAGTCCAAACCCCTTCTTTCATAGACTCACCCTTCTTTTAGATGTCTTCAAACTGGAGAATGGCTCAGTACTTTCTGTTATATTCAGATTATACATCTATGATAGGAATATTATTTAAGTGGTCCTCCTTAGGGTTCTCCTAAGTCCATCACAGTAGGAGTTATAGGACATCGGTTTGTTTTTGTTTCTGTTTTTTACCATTATTGGTGATGTCAACAGGGATAAGGTGAAAATTCAGTTTCTTGGCTAAAAGGCTAAAATTTCTCTTTGGAATTAATAAGTTACAGCACTATCACATATTCATCTATTTCAGGAGTCCCAAACAAACAAAGGGCTGGGACCTATGGCTCAGTGGTTAAGAGCACTTGCTGCTCTTGCAGAAGACCTGACCCAAAAGCAGATTTGGGAAGAAAGAGTTTATTTTGGCTTACAGGTCCAGAAGGGAGACGTTCATCATAGTGGGGAACACTGGCAACAGTCAGGGCAGGCAGGGCAGCAGGAGCAGGAAGCTGAATGATCAATCACAGTTTCCTCCATACACAGGAAGCAAAGAGAGAAACAGGAAGTGGGGCAAGGCTATAAACCCTCAAAGCCTGCCCCCCATGACATGCTTCCTCCAGATAGGCTCCATCTCTTGAAGGGTCCATAACCTTCCCAAATAGGACCATCAACTGGGATCAAGTGTTACAGTATATGAACCCAAGGAAGACATTTCTCTTTGAAACCAGCACAGAGATTATTTTATGAATGGTGTCTGTTATCTTTAATTTAAATAAGAATTTTATCAAAAGTGAAAGCAAACTGGCTCTGTATAGCTAGAATGAAAAGAGAGCTCACGTAGACTAGAATAGGTATTTTCCAAAGATAGATGAGTACACCAAGATGGGCCACAGTTATGATGGTTCTACTTATGATTTTTATTTTATTTTACAGTAGTAAAAAAGCAATTTACTTCATTGCAGCCCTTGTTAACCTCATTTACAATCTGTGGTACCATCATCTCTCTCTGTGATGAACGGCAAATAGTGATCAACAGCTCTCAGTCAACCATGTGCTCGTGGGGGCCAGCAACTGACTCACTATGCAGCTAAGTCACGAGGCTTGGAAGGTTAGATATATTAAATATATTTTCTATGCATGATATACTCAATTTATGATGGATTTATTGAGGCATAAACTCAGGGTGTTTGAAGGAGCATCTATGTATTTATAGCCAGTAGGAAATTTCCCCTGTAATCAGTTTTAAAGATTTAAAAATGAGAGACCCAATCATCTTATCTGCAGTCATTGGCTTATATAGGACTTCAATATACTTTAAGATAAATGAATAAAAGCATAACAGAATGAATTAATGAACAGTGAATTCTCTGTCAATAGTTATTTGTAGGGAAGCTAAGCAATATAGCTAGTGGATCTATATCTTCTGTAGAAAAATCAGAAAGCAAATAAATGACATTGTCTTCTGACTTCTGAGACAAATGTGTACACAGGTAAAACAGAGCATATAGTAAAGGGCCATCATGAAGGAATCTGGTGTGTGAATGAAAGTGACAGTGCCTTTGGTATACTTTCCCAGCTCTCCTTTTCCCTAGTCAGCCACTGCAGCTGACAGGACATCACTGGCCTGGAGGAAGTTTCCCTGTGCCATATGGATTTACATATGAGGTAGTAACCTGAGCAAGTCCCATGTTCTGCTGCTGCCCTGGACACAGCTCATGTGCATGGAAGGAACCATCAATCACTCCAAGTCTAATTGCTTTGCTTTTAACTCCTCTCTGCCTCACCTTGTATCTTCATTCCCCAGAGAGGTAATGAGGAGGCTCTTATGGGGAGACATGGCAATGAAAAGCAAAGGTGAACATGTTTGAGTTATTTATGATAGTTTTATCTTTAGACTTATATGTTCTGAATTTACAGCATATCAGATGAAAGTGACAACACCTATTACTCCCTCCCTCCAGAACAAGAGCTGTGGAAATAACAGCAGGTGCCAATGAAGATGCCTCACATCACCCACACCGTCTGCTTATGGCCATTGCTCAGGACATGCAAGGCCAAAGGCAAATGGAATTCCTAAGTTTAGAAAGAAAATAAGCAAACTTTGCCAAAGCATGTTTGCCAAGTCTCATTCCAACTCCACTCTGCCAATTAAAATGTGAACCAGCCCATGTTGTTATAGGGCTGTCTAACAACTAGAGTCAATTGCTTCTCAAAATTGGATGTAATGAAGACTTACCTGACCCAAAGCACCAATGGAATGTTGACTTCTCTTACACTGATTGTACTGTGTATTTCTCAGAATTTTTATTATTTTTTTGAGATAGGGTCTCCCTGTAGCCCCAGATGAGCTGAAACTTGCTATGTAGACCAAGCTGGCCTTGATCTCACAGAGATCTGCCTGCTTCTGTCTCCAGAGTGCTGGGATTAAAGACGTATGCCACCACACCCAGCTTCAGAACTATTTTTTTAATGGCTAAAAAGGGCAGATATAAAATCTCATATCTTACAAAGTAGCCAACACTTCCCACGCAGAGCTTTCACTGCCCCTTCATCATCACTTGCCACAACAACCCTGGCAGTAGCCCTCACTATTTCCAAAGCCCTTTGTCATCCAATGAATTCCCTTCTGAGTCCCTCTATCCTGCTTAAAACTTGGAACTAATGACATCATAATCTTGCTCAGGAGTAGAGCATTTGGTTCTGTGTTCCAGTCCCAGCCATACAGTAACAAAACAAATTCTAGAACTGTCTGCTACCTAAGAAATAGAAAGTTGGCAGGAAACAGCAGATGTAGCTACAAGAACAGTTAGCACAATTGATTGATAAGACAAGGAGGGAAGAGCTTGAGATTCTCAGACAGATAATGCAATAGCAACAAGTCACAGGGCAGCCGAAGACAGAGTCACAAAGTCTCCAGATTCATATACCTGAAATAGCCTCTTGTTCACCAACCTTTTTCAGGCACATCCCAGAAAACTGTTACATTAAACTCTGGATCTTAGTTTTTAACAATAAAAGGCACAAACAACTGCACATAAACCAGCATTCTGAAAATTACTTATTTTCATTTTTAAATATTTAAAGTTCATTCACAAAAATTTACATTTATTTTGTTATCACCAATTTTTAATCCTAATCTCCTCAAGTAACACTAATATTTTATGGCACTTAGAAGGTAAAAGAAAATGTGGGGTGTTGGAGGAGAAAGGGGATTGTCAGGGGCTATGTGTAGTTCCAATATACCCACCTCTTAAGCCACAGATAATGAGGGCAGACTGATATGCTCAGATTTAGAAAGACAAGCAGGAAAACTTATGCTACTTCTATACTCTTGGCATAAACTTTCAGGGCAAATACCAGTTTCTCTAGCATATAATATTCTAGGTTGACTGAAGGAAATACTTGTAGTTTCAACATAAAAATGTTTGTCCTGGGGCAGGGCCCAGGGGTTAAGAGCACTGACTGCTCTTGCAGAGGACCTGGGTCCAATTCCCAGCACCTACATGGTGGCTAACAACCACCCATAACTCCAGTTACAGGAAATGCAACGCTCTCTTCTGGCCTCTGCTGGTATTGCACGACACGAGTGCACTTACACACATGCAGGCAATACACTCATAAATACAGAATAAAAATAATAAATCAAATATTAATAAAATGTTTGTCCTTAAGTTTTGAGACATTTGAGCATATGCCTGCCCCATTACCTAGTGACACATTATAAACTAGAAAGTTCTGGTCCTGACTACCTGTCCCATTTCTTCTTTGTCACTGAAGAAGAGGCATAAACTTGATCTACATTTTTATACTCTGATGACTCTTCAGCTTTTGCATTGGTGTAAAGTTCAGGTTGTTGCTGGGGACTCCCTGGTTCTTCTCCTTGAGAGACAATGAGCACACAGCTTAGGCCAGTTGTCATGAAAGACACAAACTCTTCAAAGTCAGGCTACAAAATAAAATGAGAAACTGTTTCTCTCAGGCTCCTGGCACAGGAGCATTAAAATGGCAGCCACTGTGAAAATTCAGTGAATCTTCCCCTTCATGGTTATTAGGCAAAAGTGTATTATCTTTAGAAAGCTGTTTGCAGAGACATTTGGGGGTAACAGAATTTTAAGGATAGCAGGACTTTATTTTAAAGATAGCACAGCACAATGACTTTGAAACAACAGGAAAAGTCATCTGCAGGGCTTATTCAATCACCATCTTTGGGAATTCAATCTTTCTAATTCAATAGCTAATTCACAGTTTGACCTAAAATGTCCCCCAAAGACCATGTGCTCGATCACCAATCTGTGATGCTGCTGGACATGATGAAACATGGAAACAGAAGAGTGTGGAGTCACTGGGGTGTTTCCTTGAAGGAATTATCAAAACTCTGGCACCTGCTCTCTCTGACTTTAAAATAATTATTTATTATTTTTATTTGATGTGTGTGAGTGTATTCCCTGTATGTATGTAAGTGTGCCCATGTCATGCAGTGCCCACAGAGGTCAGAAGGCATTGGATTCCCTGGAACTGGAGTTACAGACAGTTGTTAGTCACCATATGGGTGCTAGGAATCAAACCCGGGTCTTCTGCAAGAGCAGCCAGTGCTTTGAATCACTGAACCATCTCTCCAGCCCCCTCTCCTACTTTTCGCTTCCTGGCTTCATGAAGTGAGCAGCTGTAGTCTGAGATGGGTACCTAACTATAACATTCTGCCTCACCACAGGCACCAAAGTTGTGGGTCCAAGTCACTAAGGACTGGTGTCTCTGAAGTCATGAGTCAAAAGAAAACTTTCCTTCTTTTAAGTTGGCTTTTCTTAGGTATTTTCATCCCAGTGTCAGAAATTTGACTTACACAATAGGTTTTAGGTGGCATTCCTAATTTGGATTTTCCTAAAAGTTCACATTTGTTGGTCACATGGTTGGCTAAATCATTTATTTTTTACTTGTGGGAGCTGTGACCACGAGAGGTAGTTGGAGTGGTGACAATAGAACTTTCTGTGTGATTAACATGTTTTGTGCTCACCAACACAGTCCCTGGATATGGTTATTGAACACCTGAAATATGACTAGTGCAAATAAGATCCTGAATTTTTAATGTTATTTATTTTTAATGAATTTAAATTCAAATGGCCATATGCATTTAGTGCCTATCATATTGGACGGAATATTTTTAAATGTTTCCTTTATTATATTTATTTTATGTGTATGAGTATATTTCTTGCATGTATGTAAGTGCACCCATGACATGCAATGTGCAGAGGGTTCAGAATCGTGTGTCAGATTCCCTGGAACTGGAGTTAGAGATGGTTGTTAGCTGGGTGCTGGGAACTGAACCTAGGTCTTCTGCAAGAGCAACCACTACTCTTAACCGCTGAGCCATTTCTCCAGTCCCTGGATGGAGTAGTTTTATAAACTATGTCTCCTGATCCCCAAGGCAACACACTTTTTAATGCTTTGAAGCTGCCTTTACCATGTTCCTTCATGAAAAAGACAATTTAACTGAATTTAGACTTAGAGAAAAGACCCAGGTAAATGGTGGTTTACAATAGTCCTATGTACCTTACAACAAAGAATATCTTCAGCCCAGGATAAAAATGGATAGGAAAGGACTGGTTATTCATTTCCAGATGACATAACAGAAAGAATATTTCAATAAAACAGGAACCATTCAGTTTTCTCTGAGTGCTACTGTTTTCACTGAAGCTACCTCAGAGCTACCATCTTTGGTATCACTAAGATATGGACCCTCAAGACATTAGACACTTATTTAGCTAGTCAGACTTATTGATTTGCTGGTATGTATTGAAGGTCTTATTCACAGTACTCCACTGTACTTGAATATAAATATGAATACATAGTGGGTTCTAAAAATCTTCTTACCTGGTCTGCTCTATGACTGTAGAATTCCCTCACTAATTCTTCACTGAGCAGCATATTTTCTTCTGCTTCTATAACAAATCCTTCTTTGGTAATCTTCAATTGGGGTTAGGTCAGATACAAACATGATACAGGATAATATGTCAAGCAAATTATAGACATTTACTTCATGCTTACTAAATCATACCAACCGTGGGAAAATCCATATGATACTAGGTTTGAAGTGGCTCAGAAATGCATTAAAAATCCCTTTGATACTCTCTTAGTGTCTACAGTTTTAAGGTTTAACCAAAGATTTTAACATATTTCTATTATAGTTCACCACTTAAAAATGTGAAAAGTTGCTACATAATTCCAAAGAACGATATTACAGCTTTCTTAATCACTCATAAAGCAGTATTTTACAAGTACTTAGCTACTTTCAGAATCATTTTATTTTCTATTCTTTCAGTGCTTCCATTTTTGAAGGCTGACTAGATTGAATAACTGGATCCAATGATTTGTTGTCTCCAAGAATCATACCTCACTGGTAAAGACAGTCACAGACTGAGCATTAAATAATGGAAAACAATATGTTAAGCAAACAGAAACTGAAAATAGGCTGGCATAGCATTTCTGATATCAGATAAAATATTTATCAAACCATATTAAGCAAAAGGAGACTTTTAAAAGCCATTATGCTTTAATAAAGAGAATGATTCAGCAAGAATATACAACAGCCATAAATGTACATGCACCAAGTGCTGAGCAGCCAATTTTATAAAACAAATACTAATGCACTTAAAAGGTCAGATCGAGTCAGGTGTGTTGGCATAGACCTTTAATCCCAGCAATCGGGAAACAGAAGCAGACGGAGCTCTGTAAGATCCAGGCTATCTTGGTCCATATAGTGAGTTCCAGGTCAGCTGGGGCTACAGAAAATCAAATACAAAAACCAGCAGCTTTTCCATATACTAATAGAAAACTTGCCAGAAGGAAATCAGGAAAATCTGATTCTATAACAATACTTTCAAGAAGAAAACATGTATGAATAAACCTAACTAACCAGGTAAAACACTTATACAATGGACAATTTAAGATGCTAAAGAAAGAAACTAAAGAAGACATTAGAAGACAGAAAGACTGATAATGGACAGGCAGAATACTGCAGTGGCTATGGTATTTAAGATTCAACACTTACTTCACAGAACTAGAAAAAACCGTCCTGAAATTAATAAGGAAGTTCTTAAAACCCTTAATAGACAAAAGAATTCTTAGTAGAATGATCAATGCTGGGTGTATTGCAAGCCCTGATCTCATATTATATCACAGAACCACGGTAACAAAATCAGGATGGAACAAAAAACATGTAGATCAATGCAATAGAACAGAGGACCAAAAAACAAACCCTCACTGCTCCTGCCACCTAAGTTTTAACAGAGATGTCAAAAATATATTGGAGAAAAGACAGTCTCTTTAAAAACATGATGGCAAGCAATCTAGGTTTTCAAATGTAGAAGAATGACACTAGATCCACATCTTTCACAAAAAAATCAACTCAAAATGAATCAAAGGCCTTCATATAAGACCTGAAATTTTGAAACCGGCAAAGGAAAATACAGATAAAACACTTCAAGACACTGAAAAGGATTTTCTGGAAAGGACCCCAACAGCACAGGAAACAATCCCCCAAATCGACCAATGATTATAAAAGGTCCTTTAAAGCAAAGGAAACACTCATCAGTCTATGGAATGGGGAAAAAATCTTTGTCAACTATACGTGTGTGTACTTTCATCTCTACATGTGAACATAAGTCACAAAACTAAGAAAAATCATAAGAGAGGAGGAAAAATCTTAATGGAGGTGGGTAACAGAGCAGGTTCTGTAAGAGAAGTGGAGACTATGTGGGGAAGGAAGGAAAGTGAGGGGAGGTAGACCAAAGAGGGACACGTGGGAAGGGCTGAATGAGAACCAGGTACCACGGCGCATGGGAAAAGAGACCATGATGAAACCTAGTGTTTTGTATGCCAACCTGGAAAATTAATTTAAATATTCTTCCTCAAAAGTACCCAATTAGGAAGTCTAGAATTCAGGCTTCACCATGGTTTACATTTCATAATGTAATTTTACTTTGATGGCCAAATGCAGTTTCTCTGCCATTCAGGTATAATAAGTTGTAACCAAATGAAGTTTTGAAGTAAATATGAAAATCCCAATGAGATGCAAAATGATTAAATAAATGTGGAAACTGGACTCAAAGCAGCTCAGTAATTACAATGAATGTCGATAATGTCAGCTCGATTTGATTTGGTAGTATCTATGCCCAGGATATTCAGCATCAGTTCTGGAAACCAAATTCTACCAGTTCCATTCTCTTTGTGGACGTTGTAGAGTGTCACTCACATCTTACTGGCCCCACCCGTTGCCTTTTATCTGATATTCCACTTGAAGCTACTTCTAAAAGCTCATATCATGTCTGGGGCAGGCTTCCTAGTAACTAACAATGTAAAATTGAAGCAACATTTCAACTTCATGATTTCTCCTTCTCTACAGTTCTAAACGCAGTGTGCTTGTTTTGTTTTACTTAAAAAATTCCTTCTTTATTTTCATCTGTCTCACTGTATAGTCTTTTAATGTACTCCATAAAATTTTGTTGTTTAATAGATATACAATATATCTCTGAAATTTATCATGTAACAACCAAAAACTACATTGAGCTGATGATTAATAGTACTGTTTTAACTAAAATAACTATGCACTTTTGAAAGTTTTCAACATTGTAGGGATTAAACATACTCTAAAGAGGAACAGTTAACGTTTAGCATGTGGTATTTTATTTTTGAAATAATAAAGAGTAAATAATATATTAAAGGATGGTGTGCAATTTAGTGCCCCTGATCCCACCATATACCAGAATTGGCAGATAAAGGATTATCCTTAGAGAGTAATAGTAATTAAATCAATAAATAGTGTTTTATGACCTGTGCTATTGCCACTATAGCTAAAGGAGGAATGCGTGGTTGTCATAGATAGATGCCCAACCCTTCCTAACATGCCTCCCTCCCTGACTTTTTCTATTGCACATTCAGTTCCGGCATCATTTTGATTTTCAATATGAAGTTAGTGTTTAGGGGTCAGCAAACTAGGCTGCAGTTAAAATCTGACTCATTGCATGCTGTTGTAATTGATATTTATGGCTCAAAGCCACATTCATTTCCTTATATATTATCTATTGTTGCTATAGAAGACCTTATACAAAGCAAACCTGAAGACAGACACTCTGACCCTTTACAGGAAATGTTTGTCAACTCTGAATTACAACACAGTTTCACATATTTGTAAGTATATGTGACAAATGTAGTAACTTTATAAATTTCATATATAATGAATATAAACCACAGACACACATAAAAATTTTACAAGAAAACACTGAATGACTTCTAAAGTATCATGTATTGGAAAGGACTATCATTTATAATACATAGGAAATAAAACAAGTTAATATAAGTTTATAACAACAGTACATTGAGAATTGCTAAAAAAAAACCTTGTTACAATCCCACATAAAATCTAAAATTCTGACAGGTTATATAGGATCATAGTAAAGCAGTGTTTTAAAAGAAGATGGAGGAGTAGATGGCGGAATCCTTTTTAAGACGGGATACCTAAACATCTTTAGAAGTAGCGAGCACCACCAATTTACTATGCTCTGTTTTATTCTAAGGTATTATTTTGCAATAACTTAAATAACATTGGATAAATATTACTTACTTTTTCTTTAATTTCTACACATTTTCTCCTGAGTACAGCATCCGGTTTGATAATAGCAATACTGCAAGTTTCCCCTGCGGGGGGGGGAGCAAAATTTAATTTTCTTAGAACAAAGCCAAGATAATAAGGAATCTGGTAGTTAAAAATATAAATTCAATGCCAGGCCCATACCCCTGTTTGGGGACCATTTCCAATCCCACTGTTCCAGAGCTCAGGCTTTCTCTGCTAGCTAGTAAGAACCAGCCTGTTCTGTTCCCATCGGCTCTTCTTGGGCCCTTGTCAGGCTGAGGTTTCCAGAGAGCTCCTGACTAGCTAAGAGAGACAGGCAGATCCAGTGTGCAGAGTTACCATTCCTTTACTTTGCGACCAGCCCCAGTTGCTTAGGTTCAGGGCTCACACCTTCTTTGCTTAGCTAGTTAGAACCAGTCCAGCTGACACCCATCACCTGGACTTGGGTCCCAGCTCCTTTACCCTCCTAGAGAGAACCTGGCTAATCTGCCTGAATCCATTCAGTCCCACCAATAAAAATCCAAAAGAGAGAACATGAAGCCCAGCCCAACTAACTATTCAGAACAAATCAGAAAGCAACCAAGCTACATCAACAATATAAACAGAAATAAACTTCAACTCAACAAAAGTAGGCTTAGGTACACAAACAAAAACAAAACAAAACAAAACAAAAACTACATGCCCAGACTGCAATGAAAAAAAAATGAAAAATCAAAATAATTAAGATGCATAAAGCCCAAATTTACACATTGTAAGCATAGAGGAAGGAGAGGAACCACAAGCCAATGGCATTGATCAGATCCTCAATAGGATTATAGAAAAAAAATCTCTGCAGTCTCTTATTCTCTAAAACTTAGGCAGTCGTGGCTTTCTGTATGCACTGCACTCTGTTGTATAAGAAAGCTTCACTGGTGCGAGTTGAGAGATGCATTAGCATTCCCTCCACCCCCTGTTCTGCTATATTCTATGAGTCTTAGGTATTATAGAGGTTCCATTGTAGACATGTCACCTAGGGCTGGGCATCTCTCAGACATATATTCCCTGCATGTGACCAGTTGTGGAACTATGTAATAGCCTCCATCTGTTCCAAAAAGAAGCTTCTTTGATGAGTGGTTTATGGTACACTTGTCAGTTGTTGGGGGTATATGGCAGCATGGATAGGGTAGGGGATCTAAATTTAATTAAGAACTATTGAATGAAATGCACAAAAACTCAATAAAAATATTTTTTAAAATCTTCCTAAATAGGAAAGACATGCCCATATAGATTTAAGAAGCACACAGAGCACCAAATAGACAGAACCAGAACAGAAACTCCCCATGGCATATCACAGTAAAAACACAAAATGTACAGGACAAAGAAAGAATACTGAAAGCTATAAGAGAAAACAAGAAACATATAATTGAAAACCCATCATCTGAAATTTTAGTACAAAGTATAAAAGCCAGAATTGCTCAAGCAAAGTATTTAATGTTCTAAATGAGCATAGATGCCAACTCAGAATACTTTACCCAGAAAAACTTCTATCATAGTTGAAGGGGAAAGAAAGATTTTCCATGACACAGATAGGCTGAAAGAATTCATGTCCCAAAAAATAGTCCTACAGAGAATACTCAAACCAATACAAAGGACTGGAGGAAAGAATGACCATACCCAAGAAAATACAGGAAGAAAAAAAATGAAGGCATAATTACAGAAATACAAATATAGGATTAAGAACATAAACAAAAATTAAAATGGTATAACCAACACACACCTTTCAACAATAGCTTTAAATATTAAGGACATCAACTCCCCAGTCAAAAGACACAGACTAGTTGAGTAGATTAAGAAACAAAATCCAACTTTTTGTAGTCTGCAAGAAACTCATCTCATCTGCAAGGATAGGCACTACCTTAGGGTGAAAGGATAGAAAAACATATTCCAAGCAAATGGCACTAAGAAACAAGCAGGCATTTCGATTCTAATATCTGACAAAATAGACTTCAAATTAAAATTAGTCAGAAGAGATGAAGAAGGTCAGTTCTCTCTGATCAAGGGAACAACTGACCAAGAAGGCATTACAACCATGAACATATGTGCCCCCAAATCTTGTAAAACTGATTTCATAAAAGAGTGCTACCGGATTTCAAGACACAGATTAACCCCAACTCAGTAACAGTAGGTGACTTCAGTGCCCCACTCTCTCCAATAGACAGATCAATTGGACAATAATAGAGAGACGTCCGAATTAAATGATACAATGTGGAGAGCCGTAGGCCCCCACCCCAGGAAATAGCAAGACCTGATTCCTGGCAAAGCTGTTTTTCAGACATCAAGGCTGGCCTGGTTTGAGATTAACCAGATGACTATACTTGAAAGCCTCACACAAACATGTTATTCTAACTCGGGCACTTACCGCTTGAGAGACTCCCTCATTTCTCATGGAACTGCTTAGAAAACATCTTTGCATTACCTTGTAATCATGCAAGTGTAACCTCTTAATTGATTTATAACTTGCTATATAGAATTGTGGTGTTACTATGGAATTTACTCTGTGATCAATTGGTGTGGTGTAACCTCCAGGTACCCATGCTGACTGTCTCATGGGTTGGGATATCTGGCGCCCAACGTGGGGCTGGATATGGAGGATCCAGTGAGGGAAGAAGGCGTCCCCAAGGAACGTTCCACAACAATTTTCACTCTGGAGTCGCCGAGGGAACCTGCCTCGGCTACAACCAGAAGTAAGTATCGACGTCTGATTATGGGACAAGAATTAAGCAGGCATGAAATTTATGTTCAGCAATTGCAGGATGCCTTATGGACGCGAGGAGTAAAGGTTAAAATAGAGGATCTATTGAGGTTCTTTGAATTTATTAAGGAAACCTGTCCTTGGTTTCCCCAAGAAGGAATAATAGATATTAAAGGAT